TATTTTAAAGTTTAATAATTTGTGCAACAAGTTTCATTTTTAGACTTTAATACTTACAATTTTTCACTTTGCATTTTCCATTTTCATTATTTATTTTACAATGTCCATATCTTTTATAATGAGAAACAAGCAATAATGGGTTAAATGACTTAGCTTGAGATGTAATAAAAAACTATGTGAAATTAGAAAAATGTTTTAAATATAGTATTTTATCCTATTATTTATCTGAGGTTATTAATGTTTTATTAAAGATTATATTTAATTAATTGACAACTAATTTTATATATGAAAATGTATTGAATTTCAAAGTCAAAATCAATATAAAAACCTGAGGTAATATGAGAAGACTGTAGCATCTTACAAATACTATACTCATACGGTGTAAGATGGTAACACTGTGTCATACTAGGATTCTCGACATTTAATATAAATGATGTCGTATCGACAGTACGCCGACTTGTGTGTACTCTTGAAAGGCCGTCTGACCTGATAATCGGAAATCTGTAACAGTACAATTGTACTAATTCATAGTACTATTGGGCTGTTTGGAAATACTATAATATCTTTTTAATAGATCATTTGTCTTTGTCTTAACAAACCTTTGCATTATTTGCTTCTTTTTACAACTGATATTTTCTTAGCTGATAATTAACTCAACCAAGCTTTTAGATAATACAACTCTCTCGAATTCGCCATCTGAAGTTGGTTCTTTAAAGATTTGGCTTTTTAAGAAAGTTTTTGTGCTTAATCTTCAATGTGGAAACGATATCTAGTACTTAATATCATTATTACTTGTTACAATGATAGTAGTTCAAGGTGTATACTTTCACTAATTTCTATTTTTGTGTTGAAATCTAAGGTTGCATAAATCTTACAACACTACTCCAGTACCATCCCCAACATCCACAATGCAATCCATTCTGGTATTTCGACATGATCACATCTGTGATGATCTTGGTAACGCACGCTATACCCTCTTTAATTATCCAATTGAACTCCGAGTTAAGCAAAGAAAAATCAAACAACTCTTTTCCATGAGTCGTTTTAAATGATGTACCACGCTCTTTAATCGATCGATTCGGTATGTGTTCTCGTTTGATGATTGCATCGCTATCTCTTTCTAGGTGTTAATCACGAAAATTTTTACAACCTTATGGAAGAAAATATTGAAGACCCACATACTTATAAGAGTAATATTATGTTTTTTTGTCCTTGTAGTTTGTTAAAATTTGCGACTTTCGTCCTTGAGGTTTTTAGGTTATGATTTCCGTCCATATGGTTTACACTTCATTGCTATGTTCACCCGTAAGGTTAACTTCTATCTTAGGTATAACGGATAAAAGCAGTAAATAATTATAAACCATGAGGAAGAAATATCAATAACATGCATATCATATGAATGAAAACGACGACGGGTGAACATGGTATAGTACCATGTTTTTTTTCATATAACATGTATTAACCAATCACTACAAAAATGAAGAGTATCAGCGAGGTAAAATTCCCTTGCAAATTCGTCGTTAAAAAGGTCTTCCGTCGATGATAGTCTGTCGGTCAAAAGCTCGTAGGTGATGTTATTAGTGACGGATCAGCGACGGCTTTGCAAGGGTTACTTTCAGTGACAGATCAGCGAGGGAACAAATTCAGTGAAAGATCAGCGATGGAACTTTCAGTGACGGATCAACAGGGAACTTTCAGCGACGTATCAGCAATGGAACTTTCAGCGACGTATCAGCGATGGAACTTTCAGCGAGGGACCGGGAGGGACTTTCAACGACGGATTTTACATCGCTAATCCGTCGCTAATGTTTATTAATCTAAATTAATTTTTTTATAATTACATAATTTATGTATCTATTTATAGAAAATCTGGCCATAATATAACAAACCAGATCTGTTTTTTGCCAAATCCCTCGCTGATTTTCGTCGTTGACACCTTGTTTTCTAGTAGTGAATTATAATTGGTAGACAAAATTTTATATCATGTACTAACCAACTATACTTGGTATCAATAAATTTATACCATCTTTTTTCAGATGCTACATGTTGGTACAGTTTTGTACCAATATCGCAAACGTTGAAGTAACAAATTTATCTCTATTAACAATTTTTCCAACAAGATCTAGATACACTCGGACATCAAACATTCAAATAATACGTTCATATGTGTTGTACCACTTACTTCTACCTATACATGCATTCAAATAACCTTCATACAATACAAGCATTCACTAATAATCTAATACAAGCGACCATTAAGGAGCAGGGCAACAGACCGTGAAGGTGTGAACGAATTACTAAGGTTGTTTATACTAACTGAATGAATTCAATCAAGTTTCGTATATTTATCGGTATTATAATTAGCAAAATTTAAAATAAGATAATAAAAAATTTAAAAATCAAAATATCTTGTGTCATTGATTAAATTTTAGTTGATAGTTAACTAGAAAAATAAGTTGGTATGGTAAGATATTACCATGGTACGCAACTTTTAATATCATATGCCAATCAAATTTAGATAATTGGTACGATACTATCAAACAATTAGATTGGTAACAACTAAATTGCTACCAATTAAATTGGTGTACGGTTGGCATCGAAATTGATTGGTTTATCTTGATACAAATTTAACATATCTAAAAATAATGATGAATTATAAATCATAGACATAAAAATTGTAATTTCAAAAAACAGGAAGCACGAAAATGATAATTATTAACAAACCACATGCACTAAAAACGTAATTTACTCTGCTTGTAATAAGCCAACAAAAAGTGTTCAATTGCTTCAATATAGACAAACATAGTTACTTTATATCTCTTAGGGGCCGTTTATCAAACACTTACCCGATAAGTGCTTACGGGTAAAATTTAACACTATTATTTACTTATGGGATAAGATTTTTGTCCACCAAAACGACATCGTATGCAACAATTTACCCGGTAAGCCTTACCGTGGTAAGAGTCGTCGTCCTCACTTACCGGATAAGACTCTTGGTTCATGTCTCATTCTTACCAGGTAAGGTTCTTGATCTTTACCATATTCATCCGGTGAGGTAATGTTACTTGGTAAGCGCTTATCCGGGTAAACGTTTGGTAAACGGCCCCTAAGTTTTTTATTTTTTATTTTATACATTTATTTTATATATATATATATATATATATATTATTAACTAAAATATATCAAAAAAAAATATGTTTCACTTTTTACAAATTACAACGATCTTGTTAATATTTTCAAAATAAGTTCAATGTTGAATATTTTTTCAGTTTAATCATATTATTGAATATTATAAATATGTATGAATTATTTTTAAACATTTACACTTTGTACTCTTAATTATATTATTTAAATATTTTTATATATTTAATAAATTATTATTTTTCTCCTAAATATTTAATATCAATGTCTCATATTGGTGGAAAAGAATTAAATATTATTTTTCTATCTTAAATATGGAGGCTTAGAGGTTGTTTGTTTACCTTTTAATAGTACCATTAAGAGGCAGCATCTGAATCGTTAAGAGATGAATCTTATTTGGTAAAAAAAAAGTCTGCCTCTTAATTATTCTAAAACTCTCGAAATGATTTTGTATCATGGGTCTCCCCTTAACCATTAAGCGCCATAATTTTATTGTAAACAATTACATTTCATTTTACACTATATCATAAGAGTCTCTTAATCATTTTGACCAGTTAATCATTCTGCACCTAACCATTCAGCAACTGCCAAACAACCCCTTAGAGATTTTCTCCAATTTTGAAAATGTCCACCCTTTCTCTTTATTTCTCTATTTTAACATACATTATAACATAATTGTTGGTGTAAAAATATATCCTATATCTTCAAACTCTCTATTTTAACATAACTGTGGAAGATCCTCTGAGAAGGAATAATTCCGTCTTCATACTTCCTTTGCATGTGGCTTTTTATATGGCAAGCGTAAATTATGGAGTTCAATGCGATAATCTTGTCTTAGTACTTTTTTTGCATGTAGCCTTTTATATGGCAAGCGATACATTGCGTAAAGAGTTCAATGTGATATTACGCTATCGATGTTTATTTATGCAACATCTAATTCAAAAAATTTGTCTTGTGACACAATAATTCATTGATGAATTATCAGACCGTTTAGCGTAATTGGATTCTCAAGGGGTTTTTGGTTAAGCTATACCATACGTGCGAAGTGCACTTTTGTATAAGTTAGCGAAAACCCAGGATCATCAGATGTTGTCATATGACGGGGATCAAGCGGTCGCATCCCCTTTGTAGGGTCCTAGGTGCAACAACCCAAACCTAAACGAAATGTAAGAGTTGATACTGTTACATTTTCCTTTTTCAAGACGGATAATATTTTCACTACTTTTGGTGTTCGACTAAAGTAAATATACAAAGTGATCATTTCATCGTTCATTGTTCTCTTAGTTATTTATGAGGGTTATTATTTCGGTTAATTTTCAAACCTTGTAATCGCCCTATTGGTTTTTTCACATGACACTTGTAAAAAGCATCATATATATTAAAAAAAGGCTAATACAACATTTTTAATAATGACTCAAGTAATATGAAAACCGATGTTCTTAAACTAAACCAAACAAGAAACGGTAGCCTTGACTTGGAAATTATGAATCTGTTGATTTCCATCAGACGGAAACGAACGTGTTCTAAGGTTTCCTAGTAGCATTCTTACCTGGAAATCCGAAAACGCCCTCATGTTACGTTTCCCACCAGACTGTCCGTTAACCATTATGCATCTTAAACTAGAGAAGCATTTTAACTAAATACTCCTTTGGTCCCAAAATAAATGTCCATGATGTAAACAACACAAACTTTTAGAAATTTGTAAATATTACCCTCTTTAATTAGCTAAATGACAATTTCACCCTTAATAATTGAGGGGGTATCAAGGGTAGAACCAGAAAGTTGACACTTGCTTTTGAAAGTGGAAACTTATTTTGGAACAAATTAAAATACAAATATGGACACTTATTTGACGACAGAGGGAGTAATTTTGCATTTCCACTTTCGGTGTCAGGATATTAGAAATGCAAGAAACCCTTATGCTCAATACTATTTCATAATTGAACTCCAATACTTTCCGGGTTTCTTTTGATGTATATATAAAATTATACGCAACCCTTGACAGCTTCAGGAAGGCTGGGATCTACCAATAACCCAGATACCGCTAGGGCCAATCACTATCTGATTGAACTCTAATTCATAGTGATGGCATTATGGCACAATCTGAACACTATATATGCATTTGAAGCTCAAGAGAACACCAAAATGCTAAAAGATTCAAACCTCTAAGGAAGTTCTTGTAAAGAATATTAGTTATCGTCATTGGAGTAGTTTTCGTCATCACTGTGTTGATCGTATATCTGATATTCTCCGTCACTGTTTTCAGCATCTTGGAACTCGTTGTTGCTGCCTCCGTTGTATGGAAAACTACCAAAGAGTTCTTGCAAGTAACTCTTTGAAATGTTCTCTTGGTTTGCATCTTTACAACATATAGGAAATCTCGTAAAAGAAGTAATATAAAAAAAGAACATATTGCACCAAAACGGAACCAGCTTTGCCTTTGTTCCTATTTCAGGAAACCAAATTTCAACGTCTCCATTCATGGGAACCAAAATAGAACCAACTTTAGTTTCGTTCCTATTTTGGGGAGCATGAATTAGGCCATCGGTTCCCTGAAATTAGAAGTTATAATTGTTGGTTCCATTTTGGTGCAATTTACCCTGTTAAAAGTAGTGAAATTAAGATGGTTAACTTTAAAGAAATACGATAATATCAAGGATACAAGATGATTCTGGTAAGAAATCAGTCCCATCACCAGCCTACAAACAAACACGATGATAAAAAGAATTAGAAAAATATAAAACGAATCCATTTCGACAATCTATCATACCCGTTTTATGGGTCATCATGGGTCTTTTTATGTGATCATGGAGAATGGAGGGAAATGGTATTAAAATGAAATTGATCCCAAGAAAACTAGGTTATCAAACTAAACAAAACGAATCTAGTATATCCCACCCGGAGGTGCGGTCTAGGGAGGGTGGGATGTATGCAGACCTGACCTCTATATGAAAGAGTAGAGCAATTGTTTCCATGAAAATCCTCAATTTGTAAAAAAATGAAAACGATACACAACAATATTTACCATATCTAATCCTGCATATGCGTCAAAATCTTCATCTGCATTCTCATCCTCCATATCATCTTCTACATCATCATCATCATCATCATCATCAACGCCATCATCATCCTCATCGCTGCTCATTTCCTTTTCTTCGGTAATTACATTCTCTGCATTGTCAAGTGTGATCTTGGTAACGAAAGACAAAAAGAATATCCAATGTCATCAAAGAAGTTGCAACTCAAGTTTTCAAAGAAAAACAAAAAGAAAATATGCTTAAATCTTCAAGAATTACTATAGCAGACACATTTTTTTTGATAAAGAAAACCAAACCAAATCAAACGAGCCCAATATATCCCATCCAGAGGTGAGGTGGGATTGGAGGGTAAGATGTACGTAAACCTGACCTAAACCCCACAAGTAGAGCGGGTTGTTTCCATAAAGAGCCCCGGCTTGTTATCGAACCACTTCTATGAAAATCATAATTGATTCATTGAGACCTATCGAAATAAATCATATAAAAAATCTGCACCTCTATTTAGTTGTTGATGCTCCTCTTCGTTAACTGTTTGTTCTTTTATCACCGGTTTTGTTCTTTTCAACTTTCCAAGACGTAAAGAAGCTGATTTCAAAAGGCTCTCTGCACCAGGATCTGGATATACGGATAGGAACCTCAAGGAAACAGATAACCTCAAGATATCAAGGACGTGTGTTGGGAACCAACCTGTCGCCAACTGCAAATTAAACAATTCCGCAAAGACGTGTGAAATATAGAGAAGGCAAAATGCAACAAACGTTCCTATTTAGTGTATCAAATAACGTTTTTTCACAGTTTATGTAACAAAGTTTCAAAATTTCTTATTTTGAATCCCTTTTAACAGGTAATGTTGATCTTGTAACATTTGATGTCGTGGAGGCCCGTTTACGAAAGGGGTTTATGGCGAAAGGGACGATAAACTTGATATCCATGTCAAATGGTACAAGATTAGCAGGTTATCGATCAAAATGAGTAAAAAAAAAGAAATTTTGTAACTTTGTTGCATTATATATAGAAAATTTTAGAAACTTTATTGCATTTTAATCATACCGTAAACCATTATAACTTACAGTGCAGGTTGGTTGAGTCGAAGGCTTTCTAATCTCTTGTTGAATGTCGTCATCAGCAAGTTCGTAAAGCTGAAATGATGTTTGACATTTGTAAGGGAAAACTCGAAACGCGCATAAATCTTCCCATTTATGCTTCGACCTGCACGAAACAAAGGATTTTGAGAGAATCCATTAAAATTGTATGCTAATTATAGGACACTTTTGAGAAGTGTCCTATAAACCCATCTTTTTATAGACCACTTGTGTTTACATGACACTTTTTATAGCTAATGAGACACATTATTTTAAAATTGTCCTAAAAGATTTGTTAAAACACACAAAAGCATCGTATAAACCTATTGTAACACTTTTAGATAGGACGCTTTATTGATTGGTCCTATAAACACAAGTCCTAAAAGGAATTATATTAGGACACTTGAGACATTTTAGCGTCTTATAAAAGCCAATTTTTGTTGTAGTTAAGATCGCAAGTTATGTACTGAAAAGACGAAATTGTACAAGTGTGTTACCCAGATGCTATGCCCTTATCACAATAGGATCGCAAGGCTGGTGGTACTCTGAAGTCGATCCTCTGATATCTATTAGCCAAAACTCCAACATGTGAGCACACAGGTATAACAAATTTCAAACCTTTAAGTAGCAAATTTAAGAGAATACGAGAACGGCCAAATCACGTGCAAAATCACATGTGATTTCACATTAACAGCCAAAAAAGTATGTGGGCGACCCTATGGCTGCGTCTTCAGGTCGCAGGGCAAAGTCGCGTGAATCACATGTGATTTTGTATATGATGTTAATGTAAAATCACATGTGATTTGACCGTTCTCTTATTTTCTTAAATAGGTACCGTTCTCGCTTGAACCCGACTCTCTCTCTCTCTCTCTCTCTATATATATATAAACCGTCTATTTGGGCTTCTTAACATATTTATTCTTGAAAAACAAATAAGATACCCAAGCAAAAGCAGTTTATGACAATAGAATCTTTACATGCGAGACTCTGAATCTTTCCGTGGATCATATCCTCTTCTGATATAAAACTTAAGAAACGGCCCATTTGAAAAATAATAAGCAGCCACGAACAGAAGCCTGCAAATCAAACTTTTTATTTAGCTAGTGACATCTGAACAAAGATATAGAGACTAACATCTTATTCTAATTTACATTCGCAAAAATTTGGCAATCTTGGACATCATACATATAGGGGTATATATATGTATATAAGCAAGAAAAGTTTGTAAACGCACATTTTCATAGTGTTGTCGCCGATTTTAAGACCTTTGTCAGACAAATGCTCAGACAAAGATTGTTTGATCCATATGGGCCGCTCATCAAACAACTCACATACGGCCATTTGGTAATTCCAATCATCTGTACCTTCTTGTATGAACATTTCCCACTTTACTTTCTTAGGAACATGTACAAATGTTAAGGCACGAAAGATCATAAATAGTGGAAGCATTCAGTCAAAGATTTATAGGATCCATTGGTTGAATGACCTCGCCAGAAAAGGGTAAATCCATAACCTTTTCAAAAACCCAAAAGTTTCTATTTTGTACCCATTTTGAATGGTAACATGTTGATCTTGTAACATTTGATGATATGGATAACCGTTAAAGAAAGATTTACAAAATATTTACCACATGATTATTGCGAAATGGACGTTAAACTTGACATGCACGTCATCAAATGTTACAAGATCAGCAGATTACCGGTCAAAATGGGCAGTTATAATGAATATGAATATATAGACATGCAGACAATAAGGATATCTTTGATGCGGAAATCAATTCCAAGGCTTCGCTCTATTTCCATCTGCATTCACACATAAAATTAGAGCCAACAATATTAGGATGTATTTAAAACAATAAACACAACAAAATCAAAATATATATATATACATATATACATTCTTGGAACTAATTAATCATACCTCGGGGTATTGCATAGCTCCCTCTTGTTTCTTTTTCGTGCTGGAATCAATAGATGGTTTCAACCTACGAGAATACAAGGGACATCATTAATCAAAATTTCCTAAAGAATTTGGTACAAATAAACTTATTAATATGACTTTGGCATCTTACACCACATTCTCTGGTATATTTTTCACTGAGAAAAGAGGGGGCAATAAAATCATCAAATCCTCTTGATCGGCGTCGATAAGACCACGTTTCTCTGAAGAGTTGTACAAACGCAAAAACTTACATTTCAATAATATATCAATCTTGATGTATAACCCTCCGTCTTAAAATAATGTCCACAATGACAAAAGAACAGAGTTCTAGGAATATGTACTCCCTCGGTCCCAAAATAAGTGTCCACAATTGAAATGACACACAGTTTTAGACAAGCATAATTATTACCCCTTTTTGTTAACCAAATGACATCTTTACCCTTATTTCATTTCTCTCTCTTCACAACTCTTAAATATTTGTGCATTAATTAAGGGTAAATTTGAGAAGTTGGTTATTTACTTTTGAAAGTGGGCACTTATTTTGGGACAAACATAAATAGAAATGTGGACACTTATGTTGCGACGGAGAGAGTAATCATTATACTTTTTATTTATGTAAATGACAGATTTACCTTACTAATAAAGGAAGTAATGAATTTCTCTGTCTCACAATTAAGGGTAAACTTGGAAAGTAAATATTTACTCTTGAAAGTGGACACTTATTTTGGGACAATCTAAGGGCCTGTTTGTTAGCAGCTTAATGAGTTTAATGAAACTCCCAGCTTATTCGGTCAGCTATATGCCTATACATGACTCTTTGGTAGTGGCTTAATGATACAAAAAGTGGCTTATTCAGTAAGCTTCTAGGGAGGACCTTTATGCAGAAAGCCAAGTTTTTTCAAACCCCCCTCCCAATTAAAAAACACTCTCATTCCATCTATGAAGAAACTCCCTCAAACAAAAAACCTTTCAAATCTATACAAACAGATCAATCCAAACAGACAACTTTATCCATACATGACTTAATGGAAAACCAACCAAACAGCCCTTACAGAGGTAGTAGTAATAAATAACTGAAGAATAACACACACACACACACAAACATATAGGTAAAAGCATGGGATGAGGAGCCGACCAAATTGTGGTTCCACATCAGCCCAATTTCTCTTCTTTCTTTGCACAATGTCAGCATGAACAGCAAGAACGTGCTGGTAATCTACCATTCCTGTATGATTCAGACATTCATGAATATAAAGATTGCAGTAAAGAATCCAACAGAAGGTGATCAGTTAAGGTGCGTTCGGTACAACAATAGGACTGGAGTGTACTGAACTGGACAGAATGGGAGTAGAAAAGCAAAAGCATTGTAGAAAGTTTTAAGATTTCAATTTGACAAGGGTAGTTTAGTAATTTACCAATCTTGTCCAATCTCCCTCATTTTGTTCCACTTATTTCAGTGGGACAAAAAAGATGCATTTTTGTCATACTCAGGTCTTGTCCCAGTCTAATGTCGCACCAAACATGGAACAACAGGTTTTTGTAGCGTACTATCCTGCGTACCAAACACACCCTTAACGAGCAAAACAAACATCAAAACGACGAAAGGATCCTAAAGGTTGCATATTTTTCTAACCATTAAAGTAATATGCTTCCGGCACACAACCAATTATATTGGCATAAATCTTATCTTCTGATCCTTGTGATAGAGCCTCATCTTCCTTCAAATGAGCACTTGAATCGGTTTCAGATTGACTTCCCTTCGTATTATGTTTTGATATCTTCAATAGAAAGTTGTTACAAGGGAAACGCTCTCCGATTACAGGATGTGAGTATGGATCTTCTGGGCGGAAATGAAGTTCTAAATTGTTTGATGGCGACTGGCGAACCTACAAATGAAGCCACTCAACTAAATGGTGGACATACCTTTATATGACAACAATAATGAAAGGTATAGTACCTATGAGGTACAAGGTGGAAATGACAATTCTTAATCTAGATATTGAAACACCCAAAAAAGGAATTTTGAATTCTAATATGGAAGAAAGAGAGTGATATATTTTCGTAACTGGTTAAACATGTTCTCTAAAAGAGAAGTGGTAACATCGATACATTGTGAGAATATGTGAAACCCCATCAGATTACTCTCCAAAAGAACCCTCATGGAGAGACAGAAAGTTCCAACAAACATGGAGGAATAGTCCAATTCTAGCCTATGTTGGACTCCATCACGCCCCGTCCAATGGAGACTAGATGGGCACAGATTGTCCCAGTGTCGAGTCCCAAGAGTGGTAGAACTTGGCTCTGATACCATGTGAAAATATGTGGAACCCGAATCATTCTACAAAATGAGAAAAGGGAAGTTCCAACATATATATATACATATATATACATATATATACATATATATATATATATACATATATATATATATACATATATGGGGGATAAATGGTCCAAGTCTAGCCGATGTGGGACTCCAACATACATGAAGCGGGAAAGTTATTATGAAACCACTCAAGAAGCAAGGCTTCCTTTGTTGCATAAAATGATTTTGCTATTTAAAAGAAGATTTGGCAATCACATTGGAGGAACATATAAGCAGATGTTACCTTGGCAATTCCTTCAGCTCCGCCAAGAGTCACCAGGGCACGTTCCATAGACGAAGGGTAACCAGGATAGTTAACTGCAAAGAGCTTGTTATTTGGTAAAACTCCCGCAATAGTCCCATCTTTTATCACCCCCATTGATGTTCTTATAACTGCAAAACGTGACAGAATTAACATATTCTTCCCAGAATTTCAAATATCATCATTCAAAGCATATTACTGTACTTAAATTGTCTAGACTGGTCCTCTTTAATAGAACAAAATCCTAATCTGCATTTCAGGCTCTGAGGAAAGATATGCTAAGTTGATTTCCACGCGACTTTGTTTAGAATTATCAACATTAGTTGGGTCCAACGAATCAATAATTGCTTTTCTATTTGTTAAAAACTTATCCATAGTTGTCAAATATTAAACAGTTTGCAACACTAGCAATTGTCAAATATCCTACAATGTTAACTGAAGTGCCAACGATCCTAACAATTTCAAGAAAAGAGTTTATGTCTGCCAAGTAATTGAACATTTAACAGTTAACAATTAACTCAAAATACTCAACTCAATAATCATGTATTTCTTTGAGGAATACGGATACCAAGTAAATAAACCGTTAACACTTCCAAGTTTCATAACAGTTAACTCAATTACTCAATAATCATGGATTCCTTTGATGACTGCCAAGTAATCAAACAATATGGAATTATGGAATCTGAGCTCTTGATGTCAAAGTTACCAAATCCAATTTAGATGTGTAATGTGTTATGGAGGATTGGAGGATGGAAAACTGGAATCCGACAATCATACAACAGAAATATCAATAATTCTAAACCCTATCAATGGTGACCACGACTCTGATCGAGAACTCAAGATACACCAGCAAGTGGGCAGGGGCAATAGTCAAGACTCGAGACATGGGCAAGAAGGACAGCCGATAGCTTGAGATCGACAAGTTCTGAATTTTCGGATTACATTAGCCACATGAAAATTGGATTTGGGCTGGAAAAGTTTTATACTTCAAATGCACGAAGCTTAATAAAGATTCACACCAACAGAATATAATGAGAAACCGAAACTATTTCCAAATCTTGAAACACCAAGATCACTCCAATGTTCATAAATCCCAGCTGACTTACCGATTTACTTCATTCACCATGAATTATTTAAACAGATACAAATATGAAATCAATCAAATACTGGCCATAAGTTGGGATTGTAGATCAATTCCAACAATTGTATACATTCAAACATATATAAACTCATCGCATAATAGCACTCAAACCCCAAAAACACCTGTCACGTTAGTTCCAACAGGGAAGTTTAAATTTTTACAATCTAAAATCCAACAAAAACAGATAAAATCAATCAAAAATCAATTCACCTATGGGGTGTCACTTGGAATGATCTTGAATGGATGTTTTAGCTTAGCATTATGGGACAAATCGTGGTATGTATTTTTCACGGCTACTGTCCACCGTTGTATGGTATCCCTCTTCGTTTATTTAGGGTTGCTTCAAAGGAGGAAAAGAAACCCTAAAAAACCAGAGCAGTAGCAGGCCTCTCTGCAAAACCCAAAAACGATCACCTCTTTTCTCTGTTGTTTCTTCTCCTAAACCGTGCGGACTCTGTGGCTTTTGTTTCTGGTAACGGGTATTCGACTACAACTTCTACAAAGTTTGGTTTACCGGCTATAACATTCTTTTGTTACTTTCTAACGTTTATTAACAAGACCCCGTCAGATGATATTTTAGACTAGAATTTATCTTTAAATTAAAAAAATAGAAAAATCTAATAAATTTTACAATCTAAAATTCAACTAAAATCAGTATTTAAAAAGACGTGTCATGACATGATATGGTGCAAGATGTGCATCTGTTGTTATGAAATGGCCTATAGCATTTTTGTAAGACGTGGCTCACGTCATGACATCTTGAGACACGCGTTTTTGTAAGAGGTGATCTTTTTCCAATTAAAATCTAACAATTTCACATTTTGTAAAATTTAACTATTTTTTTATTTTTTTATCGTTTGTATTTTTACACTCTTAATTTTTAGATTTTACGTCTTTTGCGTTTTTACACTTATAACTTTACAATTCTAAGTCAAATGGTCTTCTTTACTGTTCTTACAATTCGATGGTATGTTTGACATGTTTTTTACAGATTGATGACTTTTTTGTATCTTTAATTTGTATTTAATACGTGTGATAGAACAAAAATATCAAATATATCATTATAGAAACATATAAAAAAGCTACCCAAATTCCAAATTTGCTGTAATTTTAAACCAAATCTTAGATCAAAGTGACTATTTCATTTTGATTCAATCATAAGTATCAAAGCTTTTAGAGGAAAACTGATACAAAATCCGAAGGGGATTTTGCAAATTTTGGAAGTTAGTTTTGAATGCGGTAAAAGAAAATATATACAATATGACATGTAGCATATAACTTGTATTCACTGTTACTAAACAAAAATCATACAACTTGTATAACGTATTATATTTATTCCGTTACGCGCAACCACCTTCACCACTCGAACCACCACCCTTTCTTCCCCCTGCGACCTATCGCCAGTCTTATAGTTATATGTATCAAGCAATTTTACGCCTCCACAACCAATCTGATAACCAAATATAAGGTGGAGTTTGATGAGGAGTTATCTATACTATATTATAAAGCATTTACGTTTTATCTCTTAAGAAATTCTTAATTTTTCAAGAATACTAGTATTAAAAAATCTACGTTCAAATCAATAATACATATAATATCTTTCAATTCTTGTGATATTCTTATTTTACCCTTTTTGTAAACAATAGAAAGGTTTTTAAAACCTTATATTACTCTTTTCCATATCAACGAATCAAGTTTTGGAAGCCTATAGGTTCTTAAAACCTTGGTATATATATTGATTGGTTGATTTCTAGTCCTTATATAGAATGAACTGATGTTCGAGTCTTGGCTATAATTTTTTTTAAACGTACGGCCGGCCCTGAGATTTTGGATGCCCACAGCGGAAAGTAAAAAAAATGCCCCTTATAGTGAAAAAAATTCAATCACAAGTAAATATGAGGATATTTTTAACTTTAAAACAAAATGAATAATTAGTATTCATTATTAACAAATGAAATCTATGCAGATATATGGTTATCAAGATGCCAATTATTAATAACAACATAGTTTTAACTAGTTATAGGTTTTTAGATAAGGCTTGAAACATAAATAGTTAAGAACAAGAATATGAGAAAGAGACTTAAGAAATGAACCTCATGCATGGAATTGTCTTTAGTTGTAGAGTTTCAACCAAGTGCAAGTGATTCAGGCATCACATATATCCCAATAGCATCAAGGTGTGTGCTAACACATCCATTAAATCCACCCCATGGTCCATGACTTATGCATCCTTCATAATTGGTTTTATCTCCCTACAAACCATCCAAAATAAGAATACATAAATCGGTACATTCCTATATATTCTTCAAATAAAACACAACAAAAGATATAACTAAAACAATAAATGCAAAGAAGAAGCATCTTTTCCAGGTGGGCTGGGTAAGGTATTAGTATATCTAATACACAATTTAAATTGAGGCTATTGAGATCTCAATTTATAATGTTGCCAAACTTTCAACAGTATCAACTACCAGCAAAACAATCAGCCCCAATGTATCTAAGCCATAAGGAAACACTACAAGAGATCATACATAAATAATCGATGCAAATTGATCGTCCCTGTACACAAAATCATGATAAACAATGGTGCAAAACTTTTGTATAGTGCTGATTCGGGTATGCATCAAATTAAGTGTATAACAACAAACACATAAAGAACGAAAAACATTCTACATAACATAAGAACAATAGAAACACAATAAAATCATGTCACTCATCCAATTTTAACATTTGATCGCACCCCTATCTCCAAAAACAGTCAAATGGGGCTTCTACAAATTCATGATGGTAATTCAGACTCACATTGTTTAAAGAAACAAAATGGAGCAACTTCTTTACCTCCACAACCCCGTTACTGTCTATGGAAGAAGAAACCCGATACACCATTTTTAGGCCAATTTTCTCCCTAAAACCCCCAAAACTCGATATCCATTTTTAAGACCAATTTTCTCCGGATGACTGGAGATGACACAGTAACAAGTGAATAGTGATACAGTGATACTGATACAGTAAGTCAGTAACAAGAATTAGAAACAATGACAAACCACAAAGGACCAATTTCACATCTATTATTAGGTTTTGCAATCAAACAAAAATTAGAAACTTAATAAAATAAGTAATAACCCTAAGTGGCTAAGTCCCTAACCTCACAAGTGTCAAGGGCGAGCGAGAGCGAGTCGATAGAGGCAGTCACGCAGACGGCTGAGAGAGGCAGAGAGCGAGAGGCCGAGAGAGGCAGAGACGAGATTGTGTCAACTGTCAAGGCAAGGCGAGGCGGATTGCGATTGTTCGTGAGTGAGCGAGGCGAGACTGCGAGGAGCGAGAGCGAGAGCGAGAAGCGGAGACGGTAACATATTTGTTAAATATATACATTGGGCTTTAAATTTTTTTATGCCCTTGGGTTTTATGATGCCCTGGGCCGTCGCCCCTCGGGCCTATGGCCAGGGCCGGCCGGTACAAGGTATATAAACAGTACCAAAATCTAAGCGAAAAACTAAGAAATTTAACAAAAGTGGGTCTCGAACTTCAGGTTTTTATACAAAGTGGATATTTACCAACTCCGTCATTAAATACTTACATCAAAATTTCAGTTTCAGAAAACTATAAAGACACTAACCGTTACCTAAATGTTTACCCGGTAAGTGCTTAACATTAAGAGTCAACACTATAATTTATTTTATTGGGTAAGATAGTAGTACATCAAAATGTATCATATGCAACAATTAACCTGGTAAGCGCTTACTCGAGTATGAGTTGTCATCCTCACTTACCGGGTAAGACTCTCCATCCTTATCATCACTCTTACCGGGTAAGATTCTTGACCCTTATCATGTTCATCCGGTGAGAAATATTATTCGATAAGTACTTACCGGGTAAACGTTTAGTAAACGGCCCCTAACAAAATAATACGGTTATCACGTTGCCACATAAGTCCCTAGACCACCCTCAACTTATAAAAAGTTCTCATTATATATATATATATATATATATATATATATCTATATAGGGGAGCGATCAAATGCAAACCACTCAATTTGTACAAACCGTGCAAACCGCATTCAACCAATCATAATTTTTCATTTTGTTCATTTTTTTGTAATTATGAGAGGTTGATTAATCATTTTTAT